ATATATATATATATATATATAGCTGAAATATTTTATTTCAAGTAACAAACATTTTTTAATGGTTTTAATTTCAGTTTTTGGTTTTAATGGTCAAACACAGCATTCTGAAATTGCCTTTTTTGCATAAAGAACACAACAGTATTTACTATAACAAGTATTATTGAAGTACAATGTTTAAGAAAATACTAATATAGTCTTTTTACTACTTATGTCTAATTAAATGTGTTAACTGTTTTTGTGTGTTTCTTTTCACTCAATTTTCACTCAGAAATGCTACAAATACTTATAAATTTAATTTAATTCAAGTAATTTTTTTTCAGTGTAACTGACCCTATTCATGACTTCATGATATTCCCAAAATGCTGTAGGATTTACTTCGAAACAATTTTCACTCAGAAATTGCGAATACATTTCACAAACAATTGCAATAAATAAATATATAAATAGACAAGTAGCACATTCTATTAAACATGAAATTTTGAAGTAGAAAGATGGTATTTTCTTGTAAAACGTACTCCAGTAATCTTTTATTTACAGCTCTGAAAAAATCATTCTTAACAGTGTAGTCTCTTAAACCACTCTGCTGTCTCTTTTTGCTCATATAAAAAAATAATTTAAGCTCAAATCAATCTTTCATGTTCATTTATTTATAAATAAATAAGTAGCCAATTTGCATAAGGGTCCTGATCCACCTGTCAGGATTTATTTAGCAACACACACGTGAATCCCGTGTCATTTGCGAGAGGTTTGTTGAAGCGGAATGGGTGGCGTCGAACACACACGCTGCTCAGTAATGCAAATGAGTGTGAGGAGTTTGGCACCTGAGTGGGTGAGACCTGATAGGTAAGTGGCACGACGCCAGTCTTTGTGTCTGCAAACTCCCACACAGAAAGAGATTTTCCTTAATTTTCAAAATTGTCAAAATTTATATTCCAGCTTTGATCACCATATGTTAGGGGTGGCACTAAACTAGTCGATTAGTTCTGGCAGTAGTCGACATGCCAGGGCTGTGTTGACTAGTTATGGATCACATGACTTTAGCTGCACTCGTTTGATACAAAGTGACAGCAGGAGGAAAATTCCACTGTGTGACTGAGTCATTAGTTTTATATAATAAATTGCATCGGACACATTTATTTGGATTTACTCAAAAGTTCAAGGTGGTCGGAGTTTTACTGCTTGTAGTTAAAGCGCTTTAAAGGGCATGAATTTACAGACGTAATTTCTCTGAAGGAGCTTTACTGTTGGACTGCATCTCTAAATGCATCGCTTTTAAAGCACCACCACTTGAAACAGTAAAGCTAAAACCTAAAACTATAAATAAATAAATACATAATTATGTTAATTGCAATTACTGTAACCTAATTTATTATTATTATCATTATTATTATTTATTTGTTTGTTTGTTTGTTTTACTAGATATGAACAATGCCATTCAAAAATAATATTTAATAAGAATAAGGGACAATATTTTTTTCTGATTCAAATTATTACCTTTATTGAGCAAGGACACATTAAATTGAGAATATTTCATGTTACAAAAGATTTCTATTTCAAATAAATACTGTTCTTTTAAACGTTATATTCATCAAAGAATCCTGAAAATATGAAATCCAAAAATATTAATTATTGATAATAATAAATGTTTCAGCAAAGCAGAAAATCAGCATAT